TTTAAAAATAAAATGAAGTTAAAAAATCATGAAGAAATTTGAAAATAGAACGTGTTTTTAAAAATTGTAAAAATAAAAATCTTTTATGTTGTATGGTAGGTTTACTATAGTGCTGTAGGTACTTTATATAGTTTTTTAAAAATACTAGCTTATGCTATAAAATTTGCCCCAAAATATTAGCTTATACAGTAAAATTAGATGCTATATGCTCAACATTTTAAAACATTGAGACACATTACAAAGGCAAGCTTCTCTTTGTGTTTTTGTAGTTTTTAATCAAGCCCACAGTAAATCTCTTTTCAGGAGTTCTAATGGGCTTTGCTTGAATGCATAGAAAATGATACTCGAAAATAAACTATCAAGGAGCTTAAACGAGCCTCAATTTCAAGTCTTTCCTGTTCCAGGAAGAGAGTCGAGTGTGCTTGGGGTTGCAGTGTGCAGCTGTGGTCTGCTCCCCGCTCCCCGCTCCCCCCTCCTTGGGGTTGCAGCGATGGCTAGCTGCGGGCGGGGGCCACAGTGCGGGGAAGGCGTTGTTCTTCTCGTGGATTTGGTTAGCCGCGTGGGCCCCTCCTGAGCATTTCAGTTGTTTCTTGCAAAGAAAAATAAAACTGTGTGAAGAATGGAAAACTCTGAGACATGTACTGAAGCGGTCTTAAGGTTTGGCAGAGTAAATGTTTCTCAACAAGGGATCCGTGTAAACTGATGTCTGCCTCTGCACAGGGAGACAAGCGGTGAGGAGTTACAACTCGGAAGTGAAGCTGTCCTCTTGCGACCTCTGTGGGGACGTCCGCGGATGTGGGCCTTGCGAGAGAGGAGCTACAGCTTCCCTTTACCCCGCTCCAGTCACTGTGGGGCTCGGTGTCACGCTGCTGTTCCCTTTGCAGGGTTGGCTGTGATTCCTTTTTTCAGGACTCCATGTAACATCGACATTTCCAGAAGTCACACGTCTTGTTTTCATGCTCAAGTATCACTTCTATTTTTGAAAAATGATTTTTTTTCTTTTTATGGGGTTGTGCGGGATGGTGCACAAACAGGTCCTAGGACGTACAGGTGCACAGATGTCTTCACCTGACTTCTGTGTAGAACAGAAAATCAGAGTTCTGCAGTCGTGCGTCTTTATTCTCCCCCTTAAAAATCGTTCAGGAGTGTTTCATGAAGGTGTTGTTTTCCCCAGAATAAATGTGTTATTTTAGATTATTCTTTTTATTTTCTAGAAGAAATGAACCTAGGTTCTTAAGCATTACTATACACCAGGGTTGGCTTTAGCATTAAAGACAGATGTTTGGGAACTGGGAGAAAGCAACCAGAAGGAGGAGCTTGCTCTGTTCCCTTCCCCCATCCACCCACCCCTGCCCTCTGCCCCGCCTCACCCCCAGTGGTCTCAGTATATCCTTCTTAATTGGATAGCACTTCTTCCTTTTTAGTCGGGGTGATTTTTTTTTTTTTAAAGTGAAGTGGTGTTTTTTTTTTCACTCCAATTATAATCTCATCCCCCAACCTTTACCCTTCCTGTTTTTCTTCTGGAGAGAAGGAGAGAGGGAATGTGTCATTCAGAGCTTGAGGAGTGTACAGAAAACTGCCCTAAGGAGGAGTCCTGGGTGCACTGCCCTCCCTCTCACTTCCTCAGCCCCGCACATTGGCTCTGGTTCAGGGATGCGAGTCAGAGGGCATGGCAGTATGTGCCTTGGGTGATTTAGACTAGAAGATCCTAGGCCAGAAGATGCAGCTTTGTTGGTAACGGGGGACGATTAACCAGGGCACAACAAGATCCTGTCGAAGACAGGACGTGGCAGGCAGACCTCCCTGTGGTCTGGCAAAGAAGCTGGGGCTTGACAGGGACCGAGAGAGGTAAACATGACTGCTGACCTCAAGTATGGTAGGGGGTTGCCCGGGGTCCTGTAGAAGCTTTCCTAGACTCAGGTGTCTGAGTGCAAAGAGCCAGCTGTCTGGTGACATCTAATGCTTGTGTGAATCTTTAAGATATCTGAACTTTGAGCACCTGGATAAATGGTTACCCTGTATTCTGAAGGGTAATATTCATTTATCTGGGTGAAATTTTTAAGAAAATTTAAAAAAAAAATTCCTTTCCTTCCACCTCCCTCCTTTTCCTCCTTTCTCTCTTCTTTCTTTCTTCCCTTCCTTCTTCCTTTCTTCTTTTCCTTCTAAATACATTGAAATATTTTAGATATATCAAAAATAAACTAAAGATCTCCTACTAAATCTAGAAATGGTTTAATTTTGCTCCTTAATTCCATTGCACTTCTCTCAAGTGAACATGGAAAAAATAATTCCCATGAGCTCCAAAAAGTCTGCATTACAGTATTTAAACTGTTTAAAAAAATAAATCCATCAAAAATAAGGGATGCAAATAATATCTTTTAAAGTTAAATTTTAAAACTTTTTTTTTCTTATCTTAGTGAATTTTAAGAAATTATAGTGGAGTGGGTGTTCATATATTGCTTTTGGATATTTTGAATACCAAGGGAGGAGTTACCAACATTCGGTGTTATAAAGCTTGAAACCTAGATGTAGAAAATAGATCCTCAGAGAGTGGTATGGAGAGGGAGAAGTTAAATATCAAATAAATAATCTTTTTTATTTACTTTTAAGCAGGTATAAGTTTGTAGTTCTGTTACACCTTTGAAACAGTCTGATCGAAAAATAGCATTTGTTACGTTTGGGCCTTCAGGTATGGTATTTTCGGCCTTTATATCCTAGGACTTCTTTCTAGGAAAATATTTTCTGATGAAGTTGGGGGAGGGTGTTGACAAAGGGTGTCCTCCTCGCCTGCCTCGCCCAGGGAACCTTATACCGACCATTGGTACCTTATATTCTTCAGTAAATAACTTATATACTGAACTGCTAGTGGAGTATATTGGGAAACACTAGAATGGAAAGGTCAGTGGAAGATAGCTTGTATCTTTCTTAGGCCATATTTCCTCATTTAAAAACTAGAACCAATACTTTTTTGTGAAGTACTTTAGGTTTTCAGATTAACAAGTCATCTTGTAACTCTTCTTGTAATGCATCTCTTTTTATTATACATTTCTTAAAAGTGGAGAAGGAGGAGGTGGAGGAGGAGGAGAAAGTCAGTCGGCTATGCTTCATGGGGCATGGGCTGTGGGGATGCCTTGTCTTCGTCCTCCTGCATATCCTTCATATCTTTCTTGGAGTACTGGCTTTGTTACCAGCAGTGGGGTTGCATTAAAAGTGATTAAAAAGCCACAGGCAGAAGGGAAAAGGAAGACATGTAGTAGTAATAATAGTAGAGACTATTTTCTTTTCTGCATATGCTATGAATAATAGTATTAAAAAACCTCATTTTACCTTTAAGTTTGCTCATGCTGAGATTCTTCCATTAGAATGCCATCCATTTCATTTCCTGAGATAAACTAATTTGAAATCTACCCTTTTCTTTCACCGAGTGGGAACCTTATTAAGACACCAGCGTCTACCACTTGCAGTTTTGACTGGCCAGTGGTTCCAGAGACTGAATCACTAGTAGCCAAACAATTCAAAGACAGAACAACACTTTTATATTTGGTTTCCCCGCCTACTACATTCAGTTAGAATTCTAAAAAAGATATGAAGGCAACTAACGATTTGTTTGCTGTATCTATGAGTTCAGAAAAAAACATGCCCGGTGAACGAAATGCTTTTTTTTTTAATTGTATTACTCTATTGTACTTTATGTTTTTCAAAACACTGTAACAGTAGTATCTTTGGTTTAGTATTTTGGGTATAGTATAATCTGAGGAGTGTTGTGCTAATATGAAATCCAGATATACATCTATTACCTAACAGCTTGTTACTTTAAATATGCAATATCATATTCTACACATGGGGATTTTCAGAATTGTAGATCGCATAGTTCTCCCTGCTCCCATCCTTTTGAGCCTGGGTATAGTTATTTTTTTAAAAACTTATTGTTTAGCCCTAATTTCTCTTTATGTAAAATATAGTTATAAATAGTCTGGCAATATAATACCAATATCTTTGATATAATTCAATTATTTAATTCAACATTTCTGGCTGTCCGATGACATTTAAAGAAAATTGGAGCTATCATTTTTCTTTGTCATTTTTAGAACAAGGTAGTTTATTAACCTGCTGGCCTGTCATCTGGAGTTTTTTGTAACAGCCTTACTCTTTGTTCATTTGCTCTATTGAAGTTTAGTACTGATTTCTGTAGAAATACGTTGTACATACCTACTTGACAAGGTTTCTTAAGGTGAAGACAGTACTTATTCGAGTTTGCCGAGTGGCAAACCATGGGTCCAGATGCCATTATAGATTCTTGGGGGCATCATTTTCTTGCACAGTAGAAGTCTGAGACACTTATAGTAAGTGAACTTGCTCTTGGGTTAACTTCAGAACCTATTCTACTCTTGGTAGAGGCTTCTGTTAGACAGAAGAGTATATTCCTCATTTTCCTTTGTTTTCAGACTCCAATAAAGCATAGCACTTCTAAGAACTTAAAAATTTCATATCTATCAAATGATATTTATGTTAATAGGAAATATCTTAAGTTACATTGGGAGTAATCTGAGGTGCAATTATTTTTATCACTGCTTTGAATAGAGGACTGTTATCCTACTTTCTTCCAGAAACTAAGCAGTAAATATACATTTTTAATGAAGTATGCATTAGTGAGAGTAGGCTTGTTTCAAAACTATTTCTAGCCAGTGTATTTTTGTCTGCCTCATCAAAACACAGTGCCACATTGTATCATTCCATAAAATGTCATTTTCATTTCAGTTATTGTCACCCAGGAAAATAGATAGTTTGTAGATGATTTCTGAGATTTTCACTTCAAAGGACACTTACACATTGGTATGTGCATATCTCTGTAATAAGGATGAATGAGATTGATAGACGTGTGGCTTCATATTTAAGAATAATTTTATCTCATGTTGTCATGAGGCTACGATTTACCACTCTTCTGCCCAGTGCATTGAATTCGTGGTAGAGGGTAGTGACATGTTCCATTTGTAGATCTTTACGATTTATCTTTGATAGCTTCAGTAGAATGTGGCTCTATTTTGGTCCTTCCTAGCTTTCCGTTTTGGATTTTAGTAGGGTACAGCTGATTTGGTAGAGTCAATTTATTTTCTACACAGGAAGCTTTATAAAATTTTATTCATGAATCCCCTATTTTAAGAATCTCTTCTGCATATGAGAAGAATACTGTTGAAATAAAGTATTATTTTCCCCCAGATTAAAGCATTATATGTTGATCAAAGTGATTCTGAAAGTTTAAATTTTAAATGTTAGAATGTTATGTTATTGTTAATTGTATTCTGTTATATATTCAGTAGGAAATCCTGGTTCATCAATAAAAATTAAAATTCCCGTCTATTATTATCCGTGTTCTTTTTATTTTAGTTTCAGTGACATCTATAGCACATCCCCTTTACCTACACGTATTTAATTGTGAGAAATGGGATTGTTGGAGAGTGGGTTTATTGTGTTACAGGAGTTTGACATGAGTGAGGTGGAAGGAACAACCACCAACCTGCTTCACCTCCCTCCTTATGCTTTGCTTTTTGGGTTGGAGTGGGGTCTGTGGAGAGGTAAGTGACGTACCAGTAAAAAATGGAGGTGAGGACTCACTCAACTTGTAGAAATTACATAGAACGCACAGTTCGTGTACACAGGAAAATGGGGGCGTGGATTGTTGTCTCTGGGTGGGTCCCTTTGAGTCTGAGGTCATCTCTAATTCTCACGATGGACTAGAGGTGGTGCTTGGCTTGGCGGCTTTTGGATTCTCTTCTCCTTCCTGCTACAGCTTGGGTCATCATTTCTGCTAAGGTGATCTACAAATGGACCTTAAAGAAGGTTCAAGTAACAATTTATTTGAGTCACTAGTGATAACTCCAGATTAAGGAGATTCAGAGATGGGGGTATTGTGCCCCTTGATCTAGTCACACTGCACAGCCACGTGAGACATCGCCCCCAGACTTTTGCAGCGTCCTCACTAGGGACACTGTCAGCAAGGAAGTAGTGGGTGGATTCCCGCAGCTTTCTCTAGGCCCTCTCCCCTCCCCCCACTTTTATCTCTGTTCTTCATCCTGAAGCTCCCACCTTCTCCAGTTCTCCTCTCAGAAGTCTGCAAGTACTAAGGCTTCCCTCCTGTCTTCAGTTTTCTCTTGGTGTTGTGTGAGCGACCAGCCAAAGCTTTCTGTCCTCTGTTCTGCCGCTGGGTCAGGTCCCTAGAGTGGAGGAGTGATGAAAACCCTTTGGATGATTCTCCGCTCTGATTGGTAGTTGGCTTTTATTCTCTTTTGTGTTACCCTGGTGATCTAAAAGGTCAGACAACTGCATGAATTCAGGATGAGGGAGACATTAGATGGCAGAATACACGAACAAGACTTGATCGTTAAGCAAAGTATGAGTCAGTGACCAGAGAGCCAATGCCTCCAGTTGCTCAATAAGGGAGGTATTGGTTCTGGTGTAGCCTGCACGTTTCAGGGTGTTGTGCTCAGTACTGAGGTCACAGTCTAAGAAGGTAAGACCACCTGTAGTCCATATGGGGCGGAGTGGCCCTAACAGTGTCGGGATGAAACCTCATAGGGTGTGGGGATGCTCAGCTGGTGAAAGAATGTGGACTCAACACTTTATTTAAATATCTGAAAGGCTGTCACCTGCAAGCTCACATTGCAGAATTGTTGCAAGTGGGTAGATTCTGGCACAACGTTGGGAGGAATTAAATAGAACCTCCTTATTTCAGAAGACAGTGACTGCATGGTCCCTACGGGGGTTTTGGCAGAGGCTGATCACTAATGGTGGACATTCTAAAATGGTATAGGATCCATTACTTTTTTTGTACTGAGTGTTAAAAATGGTTAAGAATCAAGAGGTTTTCTAGTTTAGTTCTCGTTATAGATTGAATTGTGTTCCCCAAAAAAGAACGTTGAAGTCCTAACCCTCAGTACCTCCTAATGTGACCTTATTTGGAAATAGGATTGTAGCAGATGTAATTAGGTAAGATAAGATCACACTAGAGGAGGGAGGCCTCTTATACTAGTATGACTGGTGTCCTTACAAGATAAGATGGCCAGGGGAAGACAGACACACTGGGAGAATGCCATATGATGACAAAAGCAGAGATTGGATTT